AGGGAGGGAGCGCGCGCCGCGTGTACCGGACTTTACCACGCGGCGCGCGCGCGCTCTCGGTATAAACTATTTATTTTCCACGAAATGCAGTTAGCACCAAAATCAGATCTTTGTGTTTTTGAAAGCCCTATATCTGAGGACTCTTTTAGCACAGAAATCATTCGAGCACCTAATTTTTTTATATCGGCATAACGGACTTTACCACGCGGCGCGCGCGCTCGCGGTATAAACTATTTATTTTCCACGAGAGGCAGTTAGCACCAAAATCAGATCTCTGTGTTTTTGAAAGCCCTATATCTGAGGACTCTTTTAGCACAGAAATCATTCGAGCACCTAATTCTCTGACGTCGTTGTAACGCACTCTACCATGCGGCGCGCGCGCTCTCCTGACAAATTATTTATTTTCTAAGGCTATTTGTTAAATATTTCAGGTATGTTTGTGGTTATCGTAAAGCACCTAATTAGCACTTAATTCTGGTGTATTAATTTTGTATGTAGGGTCACAATATCTATTTTTTGGGGTATGGGGGGTTGCAGCTTAATGGCAAGCTGAACCCCCCCATTTTTTACGTAATTTCCTGCTAAACGGTTTGAGCACCAAAATTCGGACTGCGGCACTAAAATAGCACCTAAATAGCACTAAATTTTTGACCTAGTGCGACCTTGATTTGCGGTGGTGGGGGGTCCAGGTTAATAGAGGTGTGAATTTTCTTCGTTTCTAGAATGTTCTTCGTAGCCGGACTACCTAAAAGAAGGGCAGCGGCACACACGCACACGCACATTCTCTGTATTCATACGCCACCATTGCAGATTTCAGCGTCTAACGCTAAAAATGGCTGGCTAGTGGCACGTGGTGGCACGTCGATAAACGCTGTAGAGGTTAAGGTATACACTATTAACATAGAAAATTTATACGTAATCATATTCCGTACAGATATTATTATTTTTGGTAATATTTATTATATAATTCCATGGTTATTTATGGGTATTATATAAACCATGGTTATGTTCTAATATGCGCCAATTGCGGAATTACATAATAAATATTACCAAAAATAATAATATCTGTACGGAATATGATTACGTATAAATTTTCTATGTTAATAGTGTATACCTTAACCTCTACGGCGTTTATCGACGTGCCACCACGTGCCACTAGCCAGCCATTTTTAGCGTTAGACGCTGAAATCTGCAATGGTGGCGTATGAATACAGAGAATGTGCGTGTGCGTGTGTGCCGCTGCCCTTCTGTTAGGTAGTCCGGCTACGAAGAACATTCTAGAAACGAAGAACATTCACGGCACATCCATGCGAATATTCCTGAGAGAGAACATTCGAATCATGTACAAACATTCATGGAACATTCGGTGCTATCTGGGTATGAACGAACTGAATAAAAGAGTCTTTAAGCCTAATACACGATAAGAAGAAGTTAAAAGTTTAGTGATAAAACATGTGAAACTATATCTTCGTTAAATACTTACGGAGTTATGGGGCTTGAAATTTACAGTATCACCATATCAGTATTACCATTACGCGTGGCGTGTCATGTGGCGGTTGCAATTGTTGGCTTTACAACTTCAAAGTGGTACACCTCATGTAATTACAATACTGATAATACTGTAACTTTCGAACTTCACGATTGCATTTATTATTATTATTATTACTACTGGATAAACTTTTTCACACAACGCTAAAATACATTAATTGCGACTCATGACGAACTGTTGTACGGCGTCTGAATGATAACATTCAGTGTACAAATTCAATATATGACGCTTTATGGTGGTACTTAACTAAGAAATAAATATTTACCTTGCTTTAATAATTATTTTTACATACAACTCACCTCGGTTATAAATAGGTAGGTATGTATAGTAAAGTCCTTGTTGAAGAGTACAGTGTTATACTCCACGCAGCTCGACTACTAGCATGCTAATGGCATGGTGGAAGTATACAAGGTGAACCATTCCCGTGGATGCGCAGTAGCCTAAAAGTAGTGGGGACGATCCATCCAATAAGAGCCGTGCTTTTTTGCTTATAGATTAGGTTGGGTTATGATTTGTTTGACCGTTCAAACTGCCGCCACACAAAAAAGCACGCCGCTTATTGGCCGGAAGGAAGGCTACCCCCTCTCTTCATGCGCAATGGTTCACCTTGTATACTTCCACCAGAGAGAAACCTGAGAGCGGCCATCCCAGCCTCGACGAGCACTTTTCCAACGCTTGACGCGCCGCCTGAGAAAGTGGATGTGAACTACATCCATTCCGCTCGGTAACGAGACATGGTTCGTGTCCGTACTATGGTTCATGTCCGAACTATTCAGATGAGATCGATAGTCTGACAAAAGCCGATAATTTCATTGTTCTGGGTTTATCTCACTAACGATGGCAGACCACGCGACGAGTTGTGGATTTATCTCACTAACGATTTGGAGAATCCGTCTCCGTCTTGCTTTAACGCATAACATTTATAATTCGGGTAGAAGGAAATATTGTAGAAATTTGGGAACAGTTAATATTTTTACATATTTATATATTTATATATAAATATATACATACATATATTGTAGTTTATTTATTGTAGTCTATTAGTCTTTTATTTTTATATTTTATACAATACAAGGTGTCTCGAAATTCGAAGATAAGATTGCAGCACGAAAGTTCATGAAAAATGAAGTAATGAAAATGCATGCTATTTTAAAAATAAAATAATACTTTAAATCTACTATTGTACGCACGACACACGGATAGATAACCCTTTAACTAACGCATACGTTTGGTTATACTTTAAATTCTTGTTATTTTAAGTGTAACAAAAATTTAAAGTATAACTATCGTATGCGTTAAAGAGTTATCTATCCGTGTGTCGTGCATAAAGTAATAGACTTAAAATACTACTTTATTTTTTAAATAGCATGAACTTTCATTACTTAATTTTTCACGAACTTTTGTGCTGCAATCATATTATCCTCAAATTTCGAAACACCCTGTAAACACTTTACTTATTTCGAGTAATAATATATTTTTATCCCATCTTTTGCTTCGCCTCCGTCTCCACCTCTGCCTCTACCTCGGCTTCTGTTGTTGTAACCTCTTCCTCTTCCTATTCCTCTTCCTCTTCCTCTTCCTCTACCTCTCCATCTTCCCCTCCAACTTCCTCTCTGAGAGGCGAGAATTGCCCCTTGTACTATTGACTGCAACTGTTCTGGCTGCAACAAAAATGAATATATATGTATAGTAAATATTATAATAATTCTTGGAAAATAAATTCCAAAATAGTCTCGTGCAAGGCGTTAAATATAATATACGTACATATAAAAACAATATGCTTTCGTAAATATATGTAAAAGCGAGACAAAGTAAAACTTTCCGCGATTTCATTTATTAACACTCTGTCGGCTGCTGTTATACGTGCATGACATGCAATATGTGCAACCGTCAAAATGTTAATATAATTTATAATATAAAATTTATTAATTTTTACTTACGGTTAATATAATTGGTACGGTTCCCGACATCGCCGCCGTGGCCATCGTGGCCATCGGAATCGTTGTCGCCGTTGTCGTTGTTGTCGCTATGGCCGTCGGGGTCGTTGCCGTTGCCGTCACCACGGCCGTCGGGGCCGTTGTCGTTGTCGTTGTCGCCATCGTAGCCACCGTGACCACCGTGGCCGTTGTCGTTGTCGTTGTCGTTGTCGCCATCGTGGCCACCGCGGCCACCGTAGCCGTTGTCGTCGTCGCCACCGTGGCCGTTGTCGTCGTCGCCACCGTGGCCACCGTGGCCGTTGTCGTCGTCGTCACCGTGGCCACCGTAGCCGTCGTCGTCGCCGCCGTAATGACCGCCGTGGGTGTCGGGGCCGTTGTTGGCACAGTGGCCGCCGTGGCCGCTGTGACTGTTGGGTCCGTCATTATCTTGTACTGCAATAATTCAACATTAATAATACATAAACATATTACAAATAACATATACTACAATGACTGAAAATATGTATACTCACAACACTCGGCGCCTCTTCCTCTTCCTCTTCCTCTTCCAGGCAACGAATGATCATGATGCGCGAATTGCCGATCGCCGTAAACATTGGCGACACCAGGCGGCACATAGATCGGCAAATAGGTATATTGTACACGTGTTCCGTGGAACCGCGCTAAATTACACAATTATAATATTACACTTATGTCTTTACTGTCTTTAGTCTTAATATTGTAGGAAATTTAAGTTGAAAAGCATTTATATATACAATATAATTAATATTATACAGAGTGTTAAATTTCAAACGTAACAGGTGGAATATTTCGTAAACAATGCATTTAAAAAAAAAGTTTCCTACAAAAGTTGTAGGGTTTCAGAGGGAACATAATATAATAATATTCGTATAACCTTGGGCGACGTCTCCAAAGTCAAGTGGAGGTGAGAACGAATTTTTAAAATGGAAACCTATATTTTTTATTATAATATCTTTTTTTACTAATTCATTTGAACAACTTTTATCTGAAACATTTTTTATTTACTTAATATTTTTTTAAATATTCAATAAATACTTGGTAACTCTTTCAACATTCAGTTTACGATATTGAAGATTAAATGAAGAAACGAAAGGACTCAGAAAAGAAAAATAAAATAATGAAGTAAATATTTTATTAATAAATTAATAAATCTTCATATAAAAATAGAAGAATTTTGACAAAAAGAATTTGTAGAAAAAGTAACGAAGAAGTAACAAAGTGAACCACATCCTTTTTATTTAAATTAAAAAAATAAAATAATGAAATAAATATTTTATTAATAAATTAATAATTTATTAATAAATTAATAAATCTTTATATAAAAATAAAAGAATTTTTACAAAAAGAATTTGTAGTGAACGAAGTGAACCAAATCCTTTTTATTTAAATAGAAAGGATTTGGTTCACTTCGTTACCTCTTCGTTACTTCTCCTACATTATTCTTTTTGTAAATTATTTTATTTTTATAAGATTTATTTATTTATTAATAAAATATTTACTTCATTATTTTATTTTTTCTTTTCTGAGTCCTTTCGTTCCTTCATTTAATCTTCAATATCGTAAACTGAATGTTGAAAGTGTTACGTCTTGTGGACTCCACGATTTCTCTCTTTCAAAAACCATAAGAAATGTTTTTCTTCCCTTGGAAACTACAATTTTAGAAATCAGCGGATATCGACTAGCCAACGCACGAGTCCCTTCCCCACAAAAAATTGATTGTCAGAGTTTCACTTTTCGAAACTCGAAACGTAAAGTGCTCTGATTGTTGCTGGTCGATAGCCGTTGATATAATAAAAAGGGGAGAAATAACAGACAGGATGGGATCAGGTCCCTTCAGACGGCAGTTTCGAAATTCAGATTTCCAAAATATTATACTTAAGTACGATCCGAGACACTAAAAGGGGATTCTAAAAAAGACATGTTGACCAAAAACTTGACCCAAAAGTGAAACTCGGGATTTTTCGAAAGTCGCTGAAGGAAATGATGCCCATAAATAAATATCAAAGGGCGACAACGACTTAATGGTCGGGTTGCCAATAAGAAAGACAACTCCTTGACACCTCCAAATAGTCCACCAATGAAGAACCAAAATCCAAAATCTCCTTCCACGTCCCATGACCAAGATCCACCCCCGAAAAATTGTATATAAAGTAGGAGCCTAATGGCTCAGCCTCTTTGGCAGCTCCCGATTCCACCAGTGCAGTTCTCTCCGCGATTCTCCAAGTTCCGAGTTAACACTATTCTTTTATATCAAGTTTATCCAGTCCAAGTAAAATCTGTGCGCGGTTTCGGCCGACGGACTGCGAA